CTCTCTCTCTCTCTCTCTCTCTCTCTCTCTCTCTCTCTCTCTCTCTCTCTCTCTCTCTCTCTCTCTCTCTCTCTCTCTCTCTCTCTTTGTCGTTGTCTTCTGTGCAGGTCCACGGCACCCTCTCTCCGCAGCGCAGCTTTGGCGGAATTCCCTCCTTCAGTGCACCTCGGCTATGGCGCCTGACTGGCCCGCGACTCCTTCCCTGCTTGCAACGATTATGGTGCGTGGGGTAATGGGAACCAGCTCCAATACCAATGCAATCAGTCTCGCGTTCACTTCCACTCCACAAAACATGCAAACAGGTGGCGTTTCACGCTCGCGTGCAGCGCCCACACCAAGCTCAGAGATATGGCAACCAAGAACAAAGTTCAGATGCAAACTCGCTTCAACAGACTGTGTCGCATCAGCGCCTGTACATCACAACTCTCGTCACTGTGTTCAACACCACCCTTCACCCGCACTCAACTCTGGATCACCCTGAATACACCCACACACACTCACTTGTACACGCTCACTAACCTCTAAAACTACAGCGGCTACGGCCGCTCTGCTTCTACTAACTATGGCTACGTGGTCTCTCTTCAGCCCACTTCGTCTTCGGACAACCTGCAGACCACCTTCGCACAAGACGCTGTAGCAGCGCTTCCGCATGGCTTACGCAGCGAATGAAAGAATGGCTGGGCGCTGCCTCTTGATTTATACTTCTGTAACTCGTTGGTCTGCCCCTTTCCCAGGCCCTTGGTGCACACAGTCCCACACGGTACTTGCTTGACTGGACTCTGACTGACATGGACCAGTATCGCTGACTGCACGGGTTTGCACCGCCAACTCGATGCCGTCGCACTGCCGACGTAACGCAGTTGGGCTCACCACTTGCCCACTTGCCTCTGACTAAACGTGAGCCACTTCAAAAGGCCATTTCCGGACCTTCCGGAAGTCTGTGGACTTGGCCTTTCGGGTCCTGTAGCAGCTACGACCTTGACCTTTCAGAATACCTACAGCTACGAGTATGACCTCCACAAAGCTGTGACTCCTACTTGACAGACCTACAGATCGAACCCCTACCACTACACAGACCTACGTACCAAAACACAGGTCACGGGTTCAAAGACTCCGGTGTCAACTCGATACTGTACATGGGCAACGTGAGGTCTGGGGATCGAACTCTAGGGCCCGCATCTGTGACTGCAGAAAGGTGAAAACTGTTTCATGCATGTATGCATGTTGGAAGTGAAATCAAGACAAGTCTGATTGCAATGGGGTTCAGAGTGAACAGAGCGAGGTCATGAGGGGTAGAATTAACAACGTGAAGAAGGATGTGAGGAGTGATGAAATTAGTTAGGGGACTAATTACAGTGAGTAGGAAAATGATGTTATGGGTGTAACTGGCAGAACTGGATAAGCAGGTTGTACGACAATTCAGTGGTGGAAATAGTTTGAACTGGGATAGGCGGGGCAGGCGAGGTTATGGGCATAGTTGAATGGTGATAAGGGATGGATGTATGAGGTAGTAACAGGGTAAAGGCAGCCGTTATGCGGCCTGAGGAACTGTTAATGAACCTCCCCCCTGCATCCTGCCCTCCTGGAGGTTACCCTAATGTGTGACTGGGTGCTGCTAACAGTCCCCGCTTGCTAGGGGGTTTGCACCACAAGGGACGGCCTGATCCTCTTTCTCGTCTTTTCCCCCCCTTCTCTCTTGGATGTAAAAACATGCTTGCTGGTAATAAGCAACCGGACTGTTGCCCCCCAGAATATAAGGGGGCTGTTAAAAAAAAAAAAAAAAAAAAAAAGAACAAGCATTTTGTGATCTGTTCCTTTTTGGACTGCTGTTTTTGCTGTTTTTCATTTTGCTGATCGGAATCGTGTGAATTTGGACCATGCGTGTGGTTCTGTGCATGTTACCATCTATTGATGTGTTTGACTGTTTCCAGGTCACGGTTGCCGTGGATGAGCATGGATGTGGCGGAAATGAGGACATCAATTTCCATTATACAGGGTCTGTTCATGGACCTATGCCTGCTCCCCCATTCCCCCCCCACCCCCGTCCCTCCTCCCCCCGCTCTCCTAAATCAACTGAATGATTGACGTGTATTCAGCATAGGTATGCCGGACCGGACTCCGGACCGAATTGGGGCCCCGGAACCTGGATGTTCCGGGCCCTTCCAGACTTCCGGAACACCGGAATTCTCCGGAGGATCCGGACTGGTCCGGATCCCCTTTTCGGATGCATATCCAGATACACCATATTGTCCAGGGAAAAAAAAAAGAAAAAACACTTACGTACATACATTACCTCTGTGTGTTGTCATATTCGCTATCCCTACACTTATAAAAATCGCTAATGTCAGAATTCTGAAATCCGGGCCGTCTTTGGACCTACCGGCCCGACGGACCGGATTGGGCCCCGATCTTAGATCTTTAAGATCGTGCGGTGATCCAGGCCGTTCGCGGTTGCACCTGCCCGACGTCCCAGATCGCCCCGCGATCTTAAAGTTTTAAGATCGCGGGCGAATCCAGGCCGTCGGGCCGTTTACGGCCCGGATCGCCGTGGTGCCTTGGGGAAATGAAAGGACCGTTGTCGGGCGGGCGGGAAAAGTACGGCCCTATGCGATGCGACCTACCAACGCAACCTACGCTACGCGACGAGACCTACCTACGCGACGCGACCTACCTATGCAACCTACGCTACGCTACGCGACCTACCTACGCAACCTATGCTACGCTACGCGACCTACCTACGCGACGCGACCTACCTACGCGACGCGACCTACGCTATACGACGAGACCTACGCTACGCGTCCTCTCTCTCTCTCTCTCGGACTGTGCTCTTTGGTGCTCGGTGCTCATCGTGGATCCGTGCTTCTCTCTCTCTCTCTCTCTCTCTCTCTCTCTCTCTCTCTCTCTCTCTCTCTCTC